AGTATATAATTTCCAGCAGCTCAGTGGAATTTCAGTGACATCGGAACGGCCACCATAATTCAACGAGGCCGATCTATCATCTGAACTGGGACAAATTAGCTGGGAATCAGGGTTTACTCATCAGTCCTTTCGATATCGCTCAGCGTTGAATAACATCACTTTCCAGGACCATCATCAAGCAAGGCATGGGCAAACTCCAGACCTCCGGGTGTTTTGACTCCTACTCCCACTATTCCTCATAGCAAGTAAACTGTTAGGAATGGAGGGAGTTGAAGTCCAAAACACTTGGAGGGCCCAAGTTTGTCCATACCTGATTTAGTGTCTCTGTTCATCCTAGCATTTGGGGTTCAAATCTCAGGGATCTCATCTCAGACTCAGAAACATCAGCAGTGGGTGGGTTGTTGTAGGTTTTTTCGGGCTATATGGCCATGTTCTAGAGGCATTCTCTCCTGACGTTTCGCCTGCATCTCTGGCAAGCATCCTCAGAGGTAGTGAGGTCTGTTGGAACTAGGAAAAAGGGTTTATATATCTGTGGAATGTCCAGGGTGAGACAAAGGACTCTTGTCTGCTGGAGCTCGGTGTGAATGTTTCAACTGACTACCTTGATTAGCATATAATGGCCTGACAATGCCTGGAGCAAACGTTTGTTGAGAGGTGATTAGATGTCCTTGTTTGTTTCCTCTCTGTTGTTGTGCTGTTGTAATTTTAGAGTTTTTTAGTACTGGTAGCCAGATTTTGTTCATTTGCATGGTTTCCTCCTTTCCTCCTTTCAGTGGCTATTCTTTCCGATTATGGCCAAACGTCCCTCCCATCCGTAGTGTGGGTTTAATATTAGAATCATAGAATCCTAGAGTTGGAAGAGACCTGGTGGGCCATACAGTCCAACTCCATTCAGCCAAGAAGCAGGAAAATTGCATTCAAAGCACCCCCAACAGATGGCCATCCAACCTCTGTTTCAAAGCCTCCAAAGAAGGAGCCTCCACCACACTCTGGGGCAGAGAGTTCCACTGTTGAACAGCTCTCATAGTCAAGAAGTTCTTCCTAATGTTTAGGCGGAATCTCTTTTCTTTTTTGTAGTTTGAAGCCTTTCGATATCGCTCAGCATGGAATAACAATCAGGGACATCTAATCACCTCTCAACAAAAGATTGCCCCAGGCACACCAAACAACAGCCAGGCCATCAAATGCTAATCAAGGTGGTCAGTTGAAACATTCACACCTAGCTCCAGAAGACAAGAGTTCTTTGTCCCACCTTGGTCATTCCACAGATATATAAACCCATTTTCCTAGTTCCAATAGACCTCACTACCTCTGAGGGTGCTTGCCATAGATGCAGGCAAAACGTCAGGAGAGAATGCCTCTAGAACATGGCCATATAGCCTGAAAAAAACCTACAACAACCCATTGAATAACAACGTTTTCCAGGAGCATCATCCTGCAAGCTGTCCATTTAGCGCAGGCATGGGCAAACTCCGGCCCTCCAGGTGTTTTGGACTCAAACTCCTACTTGAAGTCCAAAACACCTGGAGGGTCGGAGTTTGCCCATACCTGATTTCGCACCTTTGTTCATTTTGGGTTCAAATATCAGGGATCTCGTCTCAGACTCAGTAACATCAGCCGTGGCTGTTCTTTCCGATTGTGGCCAAATGTCCCTCCCACCCATAGTGTGGGTTTAATATTAACGTGACAGTGTTCTGTCAAGAGAAATGAGCTTCGAAGTTACAGTAGTAGAGTCTTCCTCCTCGGGAGGTTTTGCAGCAGAGGCTGGATGGCTATCCGTTGGGAGGGCTCAGATTGTGTCTTGCTCCCTGGTAGAAACGAGGTTGGACAGGATGACACTTGATAGAGTTTGAAATTGAAACTGATGATAAGTATTCCAATTTTCCATCATCTAGCACAGGCATGGGCAAACTTGGGCCCTCCCTCCAGGTGTTTTGGACTCCAACTCCCACCATTCCTAACAGCCTCAGGCCCTTTCCTTTCCCCCCTCAGCTGCTAAAGTGGAAAAGGAAAGAGAAAAGGAAAAGGAAAGGGCCAGAGGCTGTTAGGAATGGTGGGAGTTGAAGTCCAAAACACCTGGAGGGAGGGCTGAAGTTAGCCCATGCCTGATCTATCACCTCCATGCTATTACTTGTCTTGCGTGAGTGTATGATTCTGTGGCCTATCATAGAATCATAGAATCATAGAATCAAAGAGTTGGAAGAGACCTCATGGGCCATCCAGTCCAACTCCATTCTGCCAAGAAGCAGGAATATTGCATTCAAATCACCCCTGACAGATGGCCATCCAGCCTCTGTTTCAAAGCTTCCAAAGAAGGAGCCTCCATCACACTCCGGTGCAGGGAGTTCCACTGCTGAACAGCTCTCACAGTCAGGAAGTTCTTCCTAACGTTCAGATTGAATCTCCTCTCTTGTAGTTTGAAGCCATTGTTCCGCGTCCTAGTCTCCAGGGAAGCAGAAAACAAGCTTGCTCCCTCCTCCTCCCTGTGGCTTCCTCTCACATATTTATACATGGCTATCATATCCCCTCTCAGCCTTCTCTTCTTCAGGCTAAACATGCCCAGCTCCTTAAGCCGCTCCTCATAGGGCTTGTTCACCAGACCCTTTATCATTTCAGTCGCTCTCCTCTGGACACATTCCAGCTTAGAGTCAATATCTCTCTTGAATTGTGGTGCCCAGAATTGGACACAATATTCCAGGTAAAGTGGTCTAACCAAGGCAGAACAGAGGGGTAGCATGACTTCCCTGGACCTAGACACTATACTCCTCTTGATGCAGGCCAAAATCCCATTGGCTTTTTTTGCCGCCACATCACATTCCTGGCTCATGTTTAACTTGTTGTCCACGAGGACTCTGAGATCTTTTTCACACGTACTGCTCTCAAGCCAGGCATCGTCCCCCATTTTGTATCTTTGCATTTTGTTTTTCCTGCCAAAGTGGAGTATCTTGCATTTGATCTACCTGGCAAGGCTGTTGTCCAAAGTCAGTTACAGACACAACTTTTGTTGTATCCACAGCCATTTACTCTGCTTCCTGGACCTCGTCTCCTTCTCCTCTTGGTACATATTCTGTCTTTTCGGCATCTTTTTTGGGTTGCTTACTGCAGAGCCCTGACTGCTGTGTTTTGACTGGAAGCAAAGTAGTGTCCTTATGTCACGCTGCCCTCCTCAAAGCTCAGCAGAAAGGCTGTGTGCTGCAAATCCTAATTGGCCAATTGGCAGCGCAAGGCCGGTTTCCTCCCAGAGGTGGTCCAATTGCAAAGCCTAAAATTGAGCACCAAGAGTTTTTGCTACCGTTTCCCCATATTTTCTTCCAAAATGAGCCATGAAATGTGGTAGAGAGGATAGATGAAGAGGATCTGGGTTTAGCCAAAGATAATCCTGCACAGGTTATTGATTGTACATTGATTCTACAGTGTAGATGCACCCCAGTCCTTTGAGAAACCTGAAACTCCCTTTCCATCCCCAGATACGGCTTCTCTTGAGGAACAGAAATTCTGCCCGTGGCTGGAAATGAGCAGTTGCTTTTAAAAAACACAACCCAGCCTGCTCTAAAAATACACCCATTAAGCCTAATTCCTCCACTGGAATCAGAATTACAAAGCTGCGCATAAGGAAATTACTGTGATGAACAGAGGCTCCATGCAGAGTGCCAAAGAGGGAGAGAAGCAGGTATTATGCGCTCCATGAATGCTGCTGTCTAGGAGGAAAGACAGAATGTTAAGTGCCAAGAGGGAAATCAGCACCTCGGCTCCGAGTTAGTTTTGGCTGCTGGCTTCTTTTTCCTTGGCTTCTGAGGATTTTTGCCCTATCCCTAAAACCCAAAGAGGACCAGAAGCTACTCTTGGAAACCCAAAGAACATGCAAGGACTTCTAGTCTTTAATGCAAGCAAAGTGGGACAAACTAGGAGCCCCTCGTTAAGCAAAGTTTGCTTTGCAGAAAACTCCAGATTACGATACAGCTGGCTTTGCTAATGTAAGCAAAGGTGTCGTGAGAGGGTCAGGTCTCTATTGAGGGTCATCCCTAGTTCTGTGGCCATTCCGCAGCAGCAACAGCAAAAGGAAAGGTAAAATACTCCACTTAGGCAGGAATAAAATGAAATGCAGAAATATAGGGTGAATGAAGTCTGGCTTATAGAATCATAGATTTGGAAAAGACCTCATGGGCCATCCAGTCCAACCTCATTCTCCCAAGAAGCAGGAAAATTGCATCCAAAGCACCCCCTACAGATGTCCATCAGGCCTCTGTTTCAAAGCCTCCAAAGAAAGAGCCTCCACCATACTCCGGGGCAGAGAGTTCCACTGCTGAACAGTTCTCACAGTCAGGAAGTTCTTCCTAATGTTCAGGTGGAATCCCCTTTCTTGTAGTTTGAAGCCATGGCTCCACTGCCTCCTAGTCTCCAGGGCAGTAGAAAAGAAGTTCACTCCCTCTTCCCTATGAGTTCCTCTCACATATTTATACATGGTCCTCATCATGGGAGGAAAGGAGGAAGGAAAAAGAGAAGAAAGGAAGGAAGGGAGTGAGGGGGGGGGGGAGAGAGAAGATGGATAGATGGATGGATGGAAGGAAGGATGGAAAGATGGAAGGGACTAGAAGGAGGGAAGGGAGAGAGGGAGGAAAGACAAAAGAGAAGAGAGGGAGGGAAAAGGGGAGAGGAAAGGAGGAACAAAAGAGGGAAGGAAGGAAGGAAGGAAGGAAAGATGAAAGGGTGGAAGGGAAGGAAGGATAGAAGGAGAATTGGAGAGGTAAGGGAGGGAAGGAGGAAGGAAGGAAAGCATATTATTATTATTATTTTAGTTTTATTTACAGCATTTATATGCCACCCTTCTCACCCCGAATGGGTCTCAGAGCGGCTTACAAGACAGTCCAAAACAGCTGGAGGGCCCAAGTTTGCCCATGCCTGTTCTAAGGGCTACCATGTCCGTTTGTGTACTAATACTTTGGCTGTCTTTGAATTCTCCTGCGATGTTTGCCATCTGCAATCCCTTGTTTCTTTCTCAGTGCTCCAAGTCCTACTCCACCCAGTTCCTGGACATCTTCCATGCGCACCACATGGCCGTGGATGCCGTGAGCTGGAACCCATTCCACGGCAAGGTCTTCATCTCCTGCAGCTCTGACTGGACGGTCAAGATCTGGGACCACACCATCAAGTAGGTCTGGCAAGGAACGTCATTCTCCACGGGGTTTCTCTGGAAGGAAGCAATGTTCTTCCTGTTTTATAAACATCTTTGAAAACCACATTGTTTTTGCAGACTGTTCATAATTCAGGAGGGAAACCTGTGCAAATCTCACATGTGCTTGTTTTGTACAGAACAGGCCTCCTTATATTGCAGATCTCAAGATGTTTGCGCCTACGAATTCCAGAATTTCTGACCATTGAAGAAGTGGTCAGTAGGGGATTTTCCGTGCAGGAAATGATGTGTTTGCACATAAAATATTATGCCTATACTCTAGGCATGGGCAAACATGGGCCCTCCAGGTATTTTGGACCTCAACTCCCACAGTTTAGGAATTGTGGGAGTTTAAGTCCAAAACACCTGGAGAGCCCAAGTTGGCCCATGCTTGGTATACTCTTTCCTGAGCAGGAAGTGTGGTTGTTGTTTGCAAATTCTATGCAAAATGCTTGTTTGTTAATCAAGAGGATGTTCCCAGAGTCTGGTGTGGTATGAAGCCATAATGTCAGATGGGATGGCCCTGGGCATGTTAATAACACAGTCATAGCATTTCTAGCACAGCCCAAAGGACAGCACTCAGCAAAACAAAACATGGCGTGGGGAAAATGTCCTGAATTGCCAAAATGGAGTCAATCTTCCCAATTACAACAGACCAGCTGAATATGTCATTCTTGGGTTGCTGTGAGTTTTTTAGGCTGTATTGCCATATTCCAGTAGCATTCTCTCCTGATGTTTCACATGCATCTGTGTTGGGAATCAGCCTGTGTTTGTGTTTCAGGATCCTGATGTGGGAAATGATGAGGGAAATGATGGTGCCGAGGCTGAGGTACAAGATAGAGATGGTTTGGTCAATGATTTTCAGGCAGACAATGACAGAGAGGCCTCAGTGCAAAGGGCAGTTTCTCATGAGAATATCCCTGGGCCTGGCAATGATAGTTCACTCCCTCTCTCTGTGAGCTCTCAAGATCTGGGTTTAGAAAACAATCTGGCAGCTGGGAATTTTAATGAGCAGCCAAATAGGGAGCTGAAGAATAGGCGGCTGGAGATTAGCCAGGATTGGCAGCAAACTCAGTGTTTACATCATTCCAAAAGGCTTCGTCTGATAAGGGGTAAATGTGGGGGGAAGCGAAACCAATTTCTGAGTTTTGGGATATAAGGTTTGCCTCAGGGGAAAACCTGTTAGATCAGGCATCGTTTGGAAACCAAGTTCATGTGCCATGGAAATCCTGTTCAAGGGGTCTTGTTCCTGTGGAGTTTTTTTAGCCTTTTGGATTGTCTCGCAGCCTGCTTGATTCCTGTCTGGATTAATGCTGTCTTGGATTGCTTTTATTATTTGTGTGGACATTGCTTTGTGTCACTGCTTTTTATGGACTTATTACTTTTTGAAACCTTCTTATTTTCTTACAAGCATTTATTTCTTTTGGCTATTACTAAGCTTCAATAAAAGAAGGTTTGTTTCTTCACTCTCCGTGTGGTTTGTTTTAAAGTCAGAGGGCTTCTTCCTGACCTGGAGTGCAACAATCTGTAACTAATGGCATCTTCAGAGGTTCTGTTGGAAGTGAGGCAAGTGGGGTGTCCAGGGTGGGAGAAAGGACCCTTGTCTCTTTAAAGCAAGTGTGGATGTTGTAGTTAGCAAGAATTAGCATTTGAGTAACCATGGAGTTTCCATAGTCAATCAGTGAGATTATCTGCCTAGAGGTAGCCTGACCTTTGTTGCCTGGGGGCACCTCTGTTTAGGATGTGTTAACTGACCCTTGATTGTTTGCTGTCTGTAGTTCTCCTGTTTCTTAGTGGTGTCCATTGTTTAATGTCTTGATTCTGATATTTTTTAACACTGGTAATCCACAGGTGCCTCCTGTGGTGCAGTGGATTAAAGCACAGAGATGCTGAACTTGCAGACTGAAAGATTGCAGGTTCAAAACTGGGGAGTGGCATGAGCTCCTGCTTCTGCCAATCTAGCAGTTCAAAAACATGCAAATGTGAGTAGATCAATAGGTACCACTCCAGCGGGAAGGTAATGGCGCTCCATGCAGTCATGCTGGCCACATGGCCTTAGAGGTGTCTACGGACAATGCTGGCTCTTGAGCTTAGAAATGGAGATGAGCACCACCCCCCAGAGTTGGGCACGACTGGACTTAATCTCAGGGGGAAATCTTTACCTTAATCCACAGGTATAGATACACTCCACTTGTCTCACTGCCAAGAGACTTCTGAAGATGCCATTAGTCACAAATGCATGTGAAACGTCAGGAAAGAATGATGTTGGGATATGGCCATACAGACCGGAAAGCTCACAGCAACCCAGTCATTCCAGCCATGAAGGCCTCCGACAATACATATGTCAATCTTATTTTATGCATATTGTTTCCTGGTTGTGGTTCTTCTCTGCCCTGGAGCCTCCTGGCCAGCCTGAATTCCTTCTTGTATAGATTGCTTGCCTTGCTGTGTCTGCATTGGAGCTTGGCTGCCTACTAACGGGTGCTGGGTACAGGGAGCACACAACTCCGCTGTTACACCAGCTCCACTGGCTGCCAATTAGCTTCCGAGCACAATTCAAAGTGCTGGTGTTAACCTATAAAGCCCTAAACGACTCCGGCCCTGTTTACCTCTCCGAACGTATTCTCCCCTACGAACCATCAAGACTACTAAGATCATCTGGAGGGGCCCTGCTCTCGGTCCCACCGCCTGCACAGGCGTGGCTGGTGGGGATGAGGGACAGGGCCTTCTCGGTGGTGGCCCCGCGACTCTGGAACTCTCTCCCCAGAGGTTAGAACCGCCCCAACAATCCTGACATTCAGGAAACAGGTGAAGTCATGGTTATGGAGACAGGCTTTCGAAGAATGAGACAATGATCTGGATGGAAGACGGTGTATATTCGATTTTAGTATGACAACTGACCACTGTAGTTTTAAATATATGTGCTTTTTAAATGTTTTATTGTAATGTGTATTTTGATATTTTACCGATTGTATATGTTTTTATGGTTGGAAACCGGGCTGAGTCCCTCTTATGAGGTGAGAAGCTCGGTATATAAAACTTTGAAATAAATAAATAAAATAAATTCAGTCGCTCCCTTTCCGCTGCTCTGAGAAGGTCTTTTCTTTCTTTGCAGGACTCCCATGTTCATCTATGACCTGAACTCTGCCGTTGGCGACGTTGCCTGGGCTCCGTACTCCTCCACGGTCTTTGCTGCCGTCACCACGGATGGACGGGTGAGGACCCAAAAGGGTATCTGGGGGATTCTTTGGGGGAACACACAGGAAGGGAGGGTCAAGGGATCTCATGGTAACAAAGGAGGAGCACACTGATTTCCCATGTACTTTATTTATTTATTTATTTAGAACTTTTATATACCGGTCTTCTTGACCTCCGCAGAGGGACTCAGTCGGTTTCACAGCAAAAGATTCATAAACAAAAGTTTAAAACATCACATCTCATAATACACTAACACATTAAAATACAACCATATAATTACGTAAGGCCAAGTCGTCAGAAGGAAGTCACAATTCATCGCCATCCGTCCATGTGGTCAGGAGTTATTGACTCACTCATCAAATGCTAAATTCCAGAGCCAGGTTTTCAGCAGTTTTCTAAAAGTCAGGAGAGAAGGGGCAGTTCTAATCTCCAGTGGGAGAGAGTTCCAGAGCCAAGGGGCCACCACCGAGAAGGCCTCCTCCCCACCAGACGCAATTGCGAGGGTGGTGGGACCGAGAGCAGGGCCCCTCCAGAAGATCTTAACAACCTTGATGGTTCATGGGGAGAATCTGTTCGGACAGGTAAACTGGGCCGGAGTCGTTTAGGGATTTATAGGTCAACACCAGCACTTGGCATGCATTTCTGGGAAGTTGCTTTTCTCCAGAGTTCTGGCTGAACTTGCGAACCTATCTTTTGAGCCCATACACACACACACACACACACACACACACTTACTTAGACAATCCCTTGTTGTCCGAGTAGAATTGTCTTCCAAGATTGGTGTACTGACGGTGGGTCCATAGGTGACTGTGGAGCCCTGTTCTTCACCTGCATGTTCTCCCGCAGTGGGGGCATTGGTTTCCAGGTGGAAAGAGGTCCAGGTCAGGGTTGGCTTGATGCACCTTCCTCTTGGCATGTTTCTCTCTTTATCTCTCCATTTGTGCCTCTTCAAATTCTACAGCACTGCTGGTCACAGCTGACCTCCAGCTGGAGCGCTCAAGGGCCAGGACTTCCCAGTTCTCAGTGTCTATGCCAGAGTTTTTCAGGTTGACTTTGAGCCCGTCTTTCAATCTCTTTTCCTGCCCACCAACATTCCGTTCTTGAGTTCGGAACAGAGCAACTGCTTTGGGAGACAGAGATCATGCACTTGGACAACATGGCCGGTGCAGCGGAGTTGATGGTGGAGAATCATCACTTCATTGCTGGTGCTCTTTGCTTCTTCCAGCACACTGACATTTGTCTGCTTGTCTTCCCAATCAATTTGCAGGATTTTTCAGAGGCAGCACTGATGGAATCATTCTAGGAATTGCATGTGACATCTGTAGACAGTCCAAGTCTCACAGGCATATAGCAGGGTTGGGAGGACAATAGCATTATAGACAAGCACCTTGGTATCTCTACGGATGTTCTGGTCCTCAAACACTCTCTGCCTCATTCGGAAAAATGATGCACTTGCAGAGTTCAGGCGGTGTTGTATTTGTTGCAGAAGCCTTACCATGCCACCTCAGGATGGATAGCTGAGGATTGCAATCTGGAGCCGATTTGTCACGGAGACCCCCTCCATTCACAGCTGATATAATTCATCGCAGCCGCCTAATGAAGCCCTGGCTGCATTATTTCCAGAAAGGAATCTACTCTAATAGGATCCGTAGAACTACAGAAGGCACCGGCAGGGGATGGGCATCTCTTGTACGCACCAAGTTTTCCATAATAATAGAGAATAGCTCTGTCCTCTGAGAAAAAGAGAAACGTTCTTTCTGAAAGAGAGATCAAAAGCAAAACTGGTTCTCTGCATCAGCCTTGGATTGTTCCAGATGAATAGCCCAGGACTGACCGCCAGCCATCCCTCTGGCCTTTGGTGGCATCAACACAAAGCTATTGCAGAAAAGGGATGTTTTCAAAGGATGGATATGATGAAATAGGACTTGGAGAAGGTCATGTCTTCAATTAGTGATAAATCCCGCTAAGGTTACTCCTGATGGCTAAATGGAGCTTCCCTTTCCAGTAACGGTCTACCTCTGAACCCTGTCCATTCACGCCCTCCTCCTTCCCTTGACCTGGCAAAACTACAACTCCCACAACTCCATAGCATTGAGTCACAGCCTTTGAAGGGATGTCAAACTGCATTAATTCAGCGGTGTGGATGCACCCCAAGGCGGCCGAGATCACCATAAATACCAGCCTTCCCTACGGCGGATGAGCGATTTGACGGCTGCTGAGACAGATGTCGCCGAGGGACTTTGATTCCTCATCACTGCGCATAGCAACCTTTGGAGAGTTGAAAGGTTTGAAACTCAGCAACGATCTTCTGGAAATGCTCCGGCATTTTCCGAACCGCTTTCTGTCAGTTGAAGGGAGGTCTGCCCTTTTCTGAGGCCTGACAGTAAAATCATACGGCGTGGTGTTTTGTGTAACCAATTGGACCCAAAGTGGCTTCCTTTGCCCAAATCTCTCTGCTCTCGTTTTTAAAAAGTTGGGTGGGTTTGCCATTATTCTTCTGCCTCCTCATAGTGTTTTTCAACAGACAAATTATCCTGATTGGTGCAAGTAGAATCATAGAAACAGACCTCATGGGTCATCCAGTCCATAAGCAGGAAAATTGCATTCAAAGCACCCCTGATAGATAGCCATCCAGCCTCTGTTTAAAAGCCTCCATAGAAGGAGCCTCCACCACACTCTGAACAGCTCTCATAGTCAAGAAGTTCTTCCTAATGTTCAGATGGAATCTCCTTTCTTGTAGTCTTGGCTCTCACACATGTGCACCTGCGTCGCGGCAGCATATTTACAAATGATGTTTTTGTTGTTGTTCATCGTTCAGTCGTCTCCGACTCTTCGTGACCTCATGGACCAGCCCACGCCAGAGCTCCCTGTCGGCCGTCACCACCCCCAGCTCCTTCAAGGTCAGTCCAGTCACTTCAAGGATGCCATCCATCCATCTTGCCCTTGGTCGGCCCCTCTTCCTTTTGCCTTCCACTTTCCCCAGCATGATTCCCTTCTCTAGGCTTTGCTGTCTCCTCATGATGTGGCCAAAGTACTTCAACTTTGTCTCTAGTCTCCTTCCCTCCAGTGAGCAGCCGGGCTTTATTTCCTGGAGGATGGACTGGTTGGATCTTCTCGCAGTCCAAGGCACTCTCAGAACTTTCCTCCAACACCACAGCTCAAAAGCATCTCTCTTCCTTCGCTCAGCCTTCCCTAAGGTCCAGCTCTCACATCCGTAGGTGACTACAGGGAATACCATGGCTTTGACTATGCAGATCTTTGTTGCCAGTGTGATGTCTCTACTCTTCACTATTTTATCAAGATTGGTCATTGCTCTCCTCCCAAGAAGTAAATGTCTTCTGATTTCCTGGCTGCAGTCTGCATCTGCAGTCATCTTTGCACCTAGAAATACAAAGTCTGTCACTGCCTCCACGTTTTCTCCCTCTATTTCCCAGTTGTCAATCATTCTTGTTGCCATAATCTTGGGTTTTTTTATGTTTAGCTGCAACCCAGCTTTTGCGCTTTCTTCTTTCACCTTGATTAGAAGGCTTCTCAGCTCCTCCTCGCTTTCGGCCATCAGAGTGGTGTCATCTGCATATCTGAGGTTGTTAATGTTTCTTCCAGCAATTTTCACCCCAGCTTTGCATTCATCAAGCCCCGCACATCGCATGATGTGTTCTGCATACAAGTTAAAAAGGTTGGGTGAGAGTATGCAGCCTTGCCGTACGCCTTTCCCAATCTTGAACCAGTCTGTTGTTCCGGGGTCAGTTCTGACTGTTGCTACTTGGTCCTTGTACAGATTCCTCAGGAGAGAGACAAGGTGGCTTGGTATGCCCATCCACCAAGAACTTGCCACAATTTATTATGATCCACACAGTCAAAGGCTTTAGAATAGTCAATGAAGCAGAAATAGATGTTTTTCTGAAACTCCCTGCCTTTCTCCATTATCCAGCGGATATTGGCAATCTGGTCTCTCGTTCCTCTGCCTTTTCTAAACCCAGCTTGAACATCTGGCAACTCTCGCTCCATGTCTTGCTGGAGTCTTTACATAATGTTTAAACGTTAGGAAGAAGTTCCTGATGGTCAGAACTGTTGAATAATTGGGTGGACTTCCTCTGGGGGTCTTTCAGCAGATGATGAATGGCCATCTGTGGGGAGGGCGTGGGTGGTGTCTTCTTGCCTGGAAGAAGAGAATTGGACTGGATGATCCTTTGGGGTCTCTATGATTCTATGACTAGACAGGTATTTATCCAGAATGGTTCCTTTTCTCTTCCTATGGCCCTGATGTCAACTGGGTTCTGCAGCTGAAATGCTTTGGCATTCCAGGGAGCCTCTCTGTTTGGCTCCAGGGAGCCCAAAAGGCAGAAAAGGTCCAGCCCACTGCAAGCAGAAGGTGGATGATGGCACAAAGCCCCTCACCACACAAAAGTCTGTCTCTCTGCACTCCATCATCCCTCTTACATGGATAAGATGAGAAGGAGTCCAGAGAAGGGTTGGGAAAGCATTCATCCTTCTGAGGTTTCCAACTTAGGGAGCTGTGGGTGTTGTTTAAAACTTAGAAACAAATGCGGTCATCACTAATAGTCAACATGGATTTATCAAAAACAAGTCATGCCAGACTAATTTGATCTCTTTTTTCGATAGAGTTACAAGCTGGGTAGATGCGGGGAATGCCGTGGATGTAGCGTACCTGGATTTCAGTAAGGCCTTCGACAAGGTCCCCCATGACCTTCTGGCAAGGAAACTAGTCCAATGTGGGCTAGGCAAAACTACGGTGAGGTGGATCTGTAATTGGTTAAATGGACGAACCCAGAGGGTGATTCTCCCCAAGGCTTCCTCTTCATCTTGGAAAGAAGTGACAAGTGGAGTGCCATCAGCAGGGTTCCGTCCTGGGCCCGGTCCTGTTCAACATCTTTATTAATGACTTAGATGAAGGGTTAGAAGGCAGGATCATCAAGTTTGCAGACGACACCAAATTGGGAGGGATAGCCAATACTCCAGAGGACAGGAGCAGGATTCAAAACGATCTTGACAGATT